TTTTAATTTTTCATAAAAGTAAATCAGAAGGGAATTTGTAGTAAATAAGCAGGCAAATTTGCCTGCAAACCTCTACAGTCTAAGGGATAATAATAAACTTTTGAGTATAATGATACTATTAAATATTTAAAATTTTTCTAAATCTAATATTACAAAATAATATAATTTTAAAACTTTATTACTAATAAAATATATAATAATTTTTTTTTTTGCATAATTTTAGTATAAATATAGTATTAATAATGATAATAAATTTAAATAAAAATATTATAAAATAAGTAATATTTAATTGTATATATAAAGTATTTGAATATTATATAAAATATAAAAAATGATAAAATAATATTTTTAATATAAAATATTTTATAAATTTTCAAATTAATAATAAAAATAAAATATAGTAAAATGTAATGCAAAATGATAAATAATAAACTTTTTTTGAAATTATAATTATAAAAAAAAAAATCTTTAAAATCATTAAAATATTATATTAGTATTATTTAAATAAATAAAAATTAAGATTAAAATCAATAAAATAAAAACAAATATATTTGAATTAAACTAATATTACATGTTTTATATTATATTAATGAATAATTTATAATATTAATTTTTATTAAATTATAATTACATTGATATATATTTTAAATTTAATTTTTTTTTTTTTTATATTATTACTTTTTCCAAAAATTATAATAACCTAAATAAACATCAAATACAAAAATAAAATAAAAATCAATGTTACAAATTTTTTTCACCATCTCTTAAAACCTCTTCAATTGTATATCGAACTTTGTTATCTGAATATTTAAGTTGTAAAATTTCTCCTATCTCATTACATATTTTTAATATTTCATTAAGATCTTGTTTTGAATGTGCTGCTGATACACAAAATCTTGCTCTTGACGATATCATTGGTGTAGCTGGATATGCAACAACTACAACTGCCAAATCTCTCTTTAAACATTCTCTAGAAAATGCCCTACACAATTAAGAATAGTTGTATTAATTAAATCCATCTTATAAGTATCAAAGGAAAAAAAAAAAAAATCCAATAAATTATGTACTTACGGAATTTTGGCAGGATTAAATAATAAAAGGGGGATAATAGGTGAATCACGATCACCATAAATAATGAATCCCAATCTTCTCAGATTAGTACTTAAATATCTTGCATTAAATGCTAATCTTTCCAATCTTTCTTGTCCTTGACTTGTTCCATCTTCTCCCATAATGATAGCCATTGAAGTATATACTTGTTGAAGCACAATCGGTGTCATTGATTCCGCATATATAGAAGCATGGTTCGTAAGTTTTAAATGATCGATTATATCTTGACTTGCCGCTATATATCCTCCTGCTGCTCCAAATGACTTCGTAAATGTTCCCATTAATATGTCAACTTCGTTAGGATCTATTCCATAATAATCACATACTCCCCTTCCACGTGGTCCTAACGCACCAATACTATGCGCCTCATCCACATACAAATAAAACTATCATCGTCAAAGGAAATATATACATTAACAAAACAAGAAGAAATTTCAAAATGAAAACTGATTACATATTACTTACTTTATACCTTTTCTTCAATTCAATAATTTTGGGAAGATTGCATATACTCCCTTCCATGGAATATAACCCTTCTACAACTAAAAGTATTTTTTTCCATGGTCGATGCGTACGTGGTTGTCCTTGACTAATGCATTCTTTCAACAAAGTCTCCAAATCTGCCATATTATTATGTTTAAATACTCGAATGAAAGCTCCTGAAAGGCGACTACCAAACACTATAGAACTATGATTAAATTCATCGGAAATGATGAGACATCCTTTTGATACTAATGTTGGTAAGGTTGTGCTATTAGTAGCATATCCCATTGAAATAAGCATTGCTGCCGGTTTTCTTACAAATCTTGCTACCAATGATTCAACTTGATGATGTAAATCTGATGTACCTAAGAATGAACAAAAAATTTTGGATTTAGACACAGGAAAAATCAATTATACAGTTATTATAATAATAGTTATCATTATCGTACCAACTTCAACTCTAGGACTACACGTTGTAATTCCATATTTTAAAACAGTTTGCTCAACTGCATCAGCACAAGGACCTTCGCCTTGAGCAAATCCTAAATAATTATAACTACTTAAATTTAAACAATCTTTCGTTTTCCCTGTTAATTGAAAGGTCTTACAATAGTCTTTTGTTTCTCTTTCCAATAGTGTAATTTTTCTTCCCGGAACTCCTGTAACCGGTCGATTAAAACAATCATTGATTCTCAATTTTAATCTACGAACATAAAAATTATCAAAATCCGAATTTAATGGTGCATATCCCTATGTATAAGTTAATAAAGAAAAGTCTGTTATTGAATAACAATAATATCGTTACAATATTTGTTACTTCACATTTTGCATATACGTACATTCTGTTCTTTTAAGTGTTCATAATCTTTCCTCTTAAATCTTTTTCCAAAGAAATCTCGCAGATGGCCTAAACAAATAAGTACTAAATATGATAAATATGTTGTGAAAAGAAAATAATATTGTGGTTCTTCTTCAACCCAGCCAGGATCGTCGTCTCTTCGTTTTGATACATATCGTTGTTTTGCTATCATATTCGAACTAGAATAATTCACTGGGGTTTCAATTGCTGGCAAATGAAAACTTTGAGCTGTTGAAGAAAGTTTCGTTTGGCTTCCTTTACCCATAGTAAAGAAGTAAAGGAAAAAAAAATATGAAGAAAAGGGCAAAAAAAAAAAAAATTTATTTATTTCAATACCCTTTTGACCAAAAAAATTTTAGAATCTGTGAAACGTGTGATTAAATAAATAATTACATCGCATTATGATATAAGATAGAGTTTGTTATATAAAAAACTTATCATATGGGCGCTTTGAAAAATCCTTAAGTATGATCTTTTTAGTAAATTAATTCCATATTTAAACACTAACTCATAAAAAACCCTTTTTATTGATTTGCAATGAGTGGGTTTATAAATTTAACCTGTGGTTTTAATCAGAAAAAAAAATTTCTAAAAATAATGTCAATAATATAACAACATTCATAGTGATCAGAGTTAGAGTTTGCCGATTAAAGACAATCCTGTTGATAGAAAAAAAACCCTTTTTGAAAATGTTATAGAGATTAACACATACCGTATTAATAGTAATGGATACTATTTAAGTCATAAAGGTAAATTTTTAATTAATACCCGGCTACTAATCAATAAAAATCGTCGTAACTATGTTCATCATAATAATCATTATTGATACTATTTCTTTCATCATTCACATCTCTAAAATTTCTACTTATCTATCCCAGATTCAGAATCTAATAACTGTATTATGATTTTTTCGATTTTATATAAAATAAATTTATATACAATTTAAATCAAATAAAAAATAATTATAAAACAAACATATTAATTAATTAACAATCTTATCATTGTTTTAAATGGGGCATACTGCAATAAAACCAGACAAAGTGAACATTCTATAAATGAGAGGCTGATTACGATATGGCTGTAAGATTGACCAGTGTGACTGATGATGTTTTGAAAAGAATAATGGTGCTCATAGACTGGTTAATTTTAATGCTCACCTTATCATACCAGAATGTGATAAATATAAACCATAAAAAAAAATATTAATATGAAACTAATTTACATTAAATCCACTATAGAACCAAATAATTACAACACTATTAGAAGCATTCTCAAAAAAGCTTAAGAAGAGAAAATTGCACCTTACGTTTTTAAGATCAATGATACCCAAACTCTTCAGAAATATCTAGATCAAGAAAAAATCACTTATGAAGTTTATCAAGAAGAGCAAAAAATAATAAGTCATAAACGAACGTTACCACTGACTTATGACGAACTAAGAAAAAAACAAAAATTAGAAGACAGGTAATAGTAAAGGGAAACAGTTTAACATAAAGGCCTTCACTGATCGAATAACCTATCAATGAAAGATTGTTCCTTATAGTCTTGATAAAAGACTGCTTAAGTGCATTCATTGAGCTTTGATCATATTCACTACTTTGACACAATGCAATTAAATAATCAAACAATGTAAAAATAATTCAAATTTTTTTGTAAGCATAAATTTTATTATTTTGATTATTGAATGCGTACGTTTGAAATATAGTTTTATTAAAAGTCTAGACAAAAACTGTTTGATTTACCTCTGAACTCTTTTTTCTTTGATGATAAACAAAGATTATTTCAAACACATAAAACACATATTGAACATCTTTGTTGTTCTTTATGGTAGTATAACAATCATTAACTTATTGTATGACAATCAAGAGACAACGTTCTAGCAAACAAAAAATGTAGGTATTCGGATTAGTCGTACGATAAAATATTAATCTAATTAAAAATAAGCAACTGATTTAACATATGTATTGCATCAAATTTTCCCGTGATATGATAAACTAGACATGGAATGATTACATGCAGTAAATGCATAAGCTGAATCATTTACTTTCCAAAATCACGCAATAAGAGGTATGTTTTAAACATCAATTACAGGGGCAACAATCGGACAATATGATTTGATGCTTGCAATTGTTTCACAATGTGATATGCTTATGGAATGCAGCAAGATATAAATGCGTAGCTACACATTCTTTTCTTTCTTCTTATAACTTGATAACATGAACTCGAGAGAAAGATACCTCTTTGCCTATAAAAAAAAGTACCCAAGTGCTTCTTATAAACAAGTCATAGAAACCTATAACAAGAACAAGGTAAGCAAGCAATAAATACACATTTATTGAGAGGATAGTTAAAATGCATTATGACATGCGTTGGATTGGAACATAGAGTAGAGTTGTAACAAAGGTTAGGTTATATGTAAACTCGTTTCAAAGGTGAACTGGAGGAGACAAGAGACATTATGGGTTAATGATAAGAAGCAAAAGGAGAATAGTTTGAATTAAAGATGGTGTTGCAACATTGTGACACTTATTTGTCACCTGTTGCAACTTAAATTTTAATAATATTGCAATTCGTTGCAACATTGTGATGCTTATTTGTTACCTGTTGCAACTAATTGAGGCACCATCTTTAGTTTGAATGCTGTTGCCGCATGCATTTTATATGCCTGGTCTCCTTATTATATTTGTGAAATACTATTTGAAATGCTGACTAGCTCAGACTTATCCATTTGCTTTTTATCTCAATTATTTCATATGAGCATCCAATCTGTAAAGTAAAGTCGAGAACCAGGGATTTAACTGAAATTATGTTGCATTGAAAAATGCATTTAAGAATATTCTGATAAAGCCACAGAAACTATGTCAATGTATTTTTTCGTCATCTAGAATAGTATGTGAATATATAGACATTGTAACAGTTCTTTGCTCTGTACACATCACTCATATAAGCCAGCGGTACTGGCAAATCAAGACTATTAAGAATTAGCATTTGAAAAAAATGTCTTTGTGGTATATATTTATTTGCGTGATTCAGAATCGAGGGCTACTCAAAACGTTTTATCATTGCTAATGTACTTACTGGACAAGCTTTTTTTGAAAGCTCATTATATTACTTTCTTATTGGCTTTATTTGGTGTATGTTTGAAATTCTTCAATCAACAACTTTATGAAAATACAGAAAATACATGTGGCCACGTGTTTGACATATTTATCAGTAACAAAGATGATAAAATATTCAAGTTGCAAAATACATTTTAGAATAATGTGTCAGAACAAATGATATTGCAAGTGACCTTGAATAAGCTAGCGTCTGTTGTAAAAGAATTAGAGAGTCGTTATAAAGACTTCATAATTACTTTAAAAAACCTGAGCAACTCCTTTTCATTTAAAATGTTATTAGCCTTTGATGAATCTGGTATATTGATTAACAGAAAGAATAATAAAGGTAATTTTTATCACTTACAGAGGGCACTACAGGCTATTCCACATGGGGTGATACCTATTTTATGACACTTTTCACAGATACACTCTCAAGAGTCTCAAACTATTCTTCTGCCAAACGTCATAACTCATTTACTAGAGTTAGTGATAGAGAAAGACTGTACAAACTATTTTAACTTCTTGATATATTTGACTGCCACATGTAACGACCAGCAAATATTACAGTTTCGTTATTAATAACTCAAATTTTCAATATGGGACAACCTTTTTGAGCAGATGTTGATGAAGGAGCTATTATAGAATTTGCCATGAAGAAAATCCTCTGTGACAGAAAAAAAGCCAGAGATATATATGAAGCAGAGTGTACTGTGATTATCAAAAATGTAACAGAAGCACTAGTGATTCTTAGATCACAGCTCTATTTAGAAATCTCGAGCCTTTTACAGCAAACATCTGAGTTAATCAGTAGTTATATGAGAATCTTGCGCTATGTTGATGAGACATAAGAATCCTTTGTCACTACATCTCTAAGTGAACCTGTGCTAGCTGAAGCTGCAAGCCATATTATGAACTGTTCTAGAATTCTCATGCAAGTTTTAGACCACTTAGTCAGCTCAATCAGGAATCATATTGTTGTCAATGCAGGTAATCAAGGTGAACTTGTTGGCAGGATCTTGTATCTTCTGGCAATTGACAAAGCTATTCAGTCAAAATCCTAACTCTGGAATATGTATTCACAACCCACTATCATTCAATAATTTTTCGATGCATTTGTTAGTTCAGAGTCTTGTAAAAAGCTTAGTCTGATTTTTACTAAACAAGCCAACAGCATAACACTTTGCAATAGTAAGATCAGGTTTAATCATTTTGTATACATAGAGTTCACTTCTATACAGTTAGATCTTATCGAATTTTTCTTTCGCAGTACAGCAATTTTTTGTAAGCGAAATCAAAAAGGAGTGGATATTATCATTCTAGTTGTCATAGTTCAAGATGATGAAACTCTAATTACAGAGAAAAACATGACATTTATTGATATCCAAGTCAGAAATCGTGAAGCTGATAGTTCAACTAGTGACAAAGATCAGCAAGAAGAGAGTGCACAGTCATTTAAACAACAGAAGATGGATAATATATTTAAATAAACAATTCGCTATATTAGTATTGATGACTGCAAACCCTTCCCTTTGCCTTACCTTAGGATTTACATGAGTCTTGGAGTGGAATCTAAAGGTATTAAATATAATAGCACTTTAGACATTGGAATGATAACACGAACAGATGCTAAGGATAGAATGGGACATTTGAGCATTTATGGACTCTTAAAAAATATATATGCATGTTTCAATGGTGCAGACAGTGACATAATAGAATTACTATTACACAAGTTGTTAATATCTTATGTTGATCCTATTGAAAAAGAAAATGGTATTCTGTGGAGTAGACATAAAGCAAGTGATGAATAGGTCTGATAGTACAAAGTGATTGTGAAGAATATGGAATCTTTATGATATAACTAAGATATGTTAATACATATGTTTGTTTTTTTTGTCACATCTACTAATCCTCTTATGCTAAAAAGGTGAGAAAAAAAAATACAAAAGGGCATAGACAGTGCAATAAGAATAGAGTAATAGTCATCATTGGTCTGATTTAATTTCTCATTGTCAGAAAATTGTCATTAGATTGTGTAATAATAATAAAATCAATAAAGTTCATTTAGTACGCACTTGTAATTGTAAATTCTTAAATTTATGCAAAATAGTGTTAAAGTATATGAAAGTAAGAGCATGAAATAAAAAAGTATGTGAATTTGAAAAAATCATTGATAAAAATTTATATATAGGAATACCTATATATAGAAAATTATAATTATAATAGTTCGAATAAATATGAAAAAGCAATATGTTTCTTGGAGATAGGTTGTATTTGTAGTTATTTAAGACTGATTCTGAGAAAAAAGTTTGACTAAATTACGTGAAATGTTTCAAGCTCTTTCTCGATTCGAGCAAGATATATTTATAAAAGCTCAGCTGAAAGCAATGAATAGCAGAGAAATAACTTCCAGCCGATGTCTTAAAAAGAAAATGTGTACTAATAAGCGAATATTTTATTACTGAGATCACAATACGTCGCTTTATCAGAAAATGTATCTTAATATGTTAGAAATTGGTCGCACTCACTTCGAAAATGTCAGAAATCACTTAGCAACAAACTATATAATACCACGCGTTCATGATAACATAAAATGAATGCTGCGATAAAAAACTAAAATTACCATTGATATAACTATTGCTACCGTAGTAAAAAATTTTCTCGAGAATTACGTTGAAATATATAGGTTACCAAGTTCTGGTAGAAATATTAACTGTATTACTCAATTGCTTACACTTTTGCTAGCCAAAATGAGTTATAAGTCAATCTATCGTACTTTATTGCAAGTCTCAAAAATGATAGCATATTGAAATTATTAAAATATGACGCATTCCACAAGTTATGGCATCAATTAACGCCTTATATTCAAATTATGAGTCTAAGAATAGATTTATGTGATACATGCCAACATTTTTGAAATGGCTTACAGTATAATGCTCTTAAGGAAGAAGAAGCAAAAGACTTATTAAAAATTTTAAAAAACATTTAATTAAAGCCAAGTTAGAGAGAAATTATTACAACAAAAATACAAAATTAGCAGAACAACAGAGAAAATTAGTAAATAAGCATTTATAATAAGAGGTAAAGCTGATTATTGTAGCATTGATACTATCACTTATTACAGTTACAATTGAGCACAAAATGTTCACGTACCTATTCTGATCAATAGGTAAGTAAAATTTATTATCTCAGTCTACGTAAAGTGCATTTATTTAGTATTCAAGATGAAACAGTGCGCAAAAAAATTAATTATGTTCTCAATGAAGATGAAATTATCAGTAAAGGTCCTAATGGTACGCTAAGGCTGGTATTCAATGAGATTAAGTGATTAAATAAAGGTGAAAAACATTTGAAAATTACTTACAATAATGCAGAAGGATAGAATAAAAATAATACCACTATTTGATTTTACCTATATTTAGTAATTTGCGATTATTATGAAAGTATCGAATTAAATTTCATGATACCTGAACATACAAAATTTATGTGTGATAGTAGTTTTGGATTAATTAAGAAACTATATCACAAAATAATAGTAGATTGCGTAGATCATATTGTTGAGGTTGTGAAAAAATTGAGTATAGCGGAATTAAACAAAGCTTAGTATTATGATAATGAAAAAGGTTTTTAATACTTAGATCTTAATTCTGAGTTGGGAATTTTCTTTAAAAAATTGAGTGGTTTACAAAAATATCAGTACTTTATATTCAAAATAGCCAAACCTGATATTGTTCAGGTTCAACTGGTTACTAATAGTGTTTTTATTGAATTTAATTTATTAAAAACCAAAAAAGCCAGCATTTCTGAAATTACCAAAGAAATTAAATCTTTTTCCATTCTAGTCCTAATCTCTCCTCCTTTGGATTATAAAAAACAAGAATATCTTTATCATAATATTTGCCTATTTGTTAGAGATGAATTCAAACATAAGTTGTATTCTACCAATCTGTACTGAGAATAAATAAAAATATTTCAGTCAACTGCAATTTATTACTTTATTATTTTTGTTTGTTTCTATTACTATTAAATTCTTTATGATTTAATCTTTAATATTAAAATATAATATAAAATAAAATTATGACAAACCAAAACAATATTTTAACCGAAGGGGAAATAAAAGATCTAATTAGTAATTTAAACCAATATCCAAATGAAGCAGAGGTAAGAACAGTTAAAGATTACTTTGACTTTGTTTCTAACATTTACAGTATTTAGGAGATGAAGGATTTAAAAAAAGTTTTGTTCATCTTATTATTTGCATCATAATGCAATATCTTGGTGAGTGAAATCTAATGAAGAAGTTAAAAGTTTACAGTTATTAATAACTAATTTAGAGCAAGAGAGGAATGAATTGCTTGAAATAAATAAGCAATTGAAAGTAAAATTAGAAGAAAAAAATAACAGAATAGAAGAATTGAAAGAGAGAGTAGAAATAGAATAGGAAATGTCTATAAAAGTACTAGATAAAGCTAAAGAATAGCATGAACGAAAAAACTTTGAAATAGCTATGCAGAAGGATGTTTTTATATTTAGTCAGTAACAGATAATAGAAAAATTGAGAAGGGATTTAGATATCAGGAATGAGAAAATAAATTAACTAAACCTAAGAAGTTTCAGCAACTCCAAAAGTTAGCAAATAAAACTAAGAAAAAATTTAACACAAAAGTTAATATAATTAAAAAAAGCATTAAGGAAAAAGAACAAAAATTCTAAGCTTATATTTTACAACAGTTTGAAACACATATTTTGAAACAATAATTATAAAATTAGAATATAGAATTCTTGAGATAGTAGAAGGAGATAAACAAGATTGTAATTATTGCTCATTCAGTTTTCGAGATTTTCATTTTAAAGGCAATCTTACTTTCAACATTGCTATTTACCAAGTAATAACATTTAAAAATAATGATAATTATGCTGATATAGCTTATATTTATGCTGATTGTAAAAGGATTTTGAAAATGATATTCTTCCTTACTGTGAACTTTATGGTAGATTAAAGAGAAATAGAAAAGGTTGCTTTTGTAATCTATTAAAGAATAAACTAATATAATCACTTTCTATGAAAGAAATAACATTTAGAACTTTGGTTATCATTTGGAAAAGAAAACTAGAGAGTTAGAAAAAGAACTAACAACTACTAAAAAGAAATTAAACATTGAAAGAGAAGAAGTAACCAAATTTCATGATAAATCTAAAGAATAAGGTAATGAAAAAATAAAGCAGATTAAAGAACTAAAAGCAGAGAATGCTAAATTAAAAGAAAAAAATAAACAACTAAAGGAGTAATAAAATGGTCAAGTTGCTTAAATTGAAGTTAAGGAACCTAAGAGATAAAGTTGGTTGAAAGTTAAGAAGTAAGTTAAATTTTATAAGTGATTTTTTCTTGATCTAAATATTACTGAAGAATTTGGGTATCATTGATTTTGAAAATATATGAAGCAATTTTCTCTTCTTGTTCTTTTTTTAGAATGCTTTTAATGGTGTTGTAATTCTTAAGTTCTATGGTGAATTTAGTTTTATATTAATATTTTTATATAGGGGTAGTTCTATATTACTCCTATTATGGTTTATATTCCTCACATTCTGGTATGATAAAGAGAACATTAAAATTAATAAGTCTATAATAATAAGTTATGAATAAGTACCATTATTTTAAAACATCATTAGTCAAATTAGTTAACTTTCAGTCACATCAGCCTCTTATTTCAGAATGTTCACTTTGTCTGGTTTTGTTGCAGTATACCTTAAATGATTATTAATTGTAATATTTAAAGATTATAAATGAAATATAATCTATTAGAATTAATAGCAATATTAGTTTTTTTTAACAAAATACTTCTTAACAGAATCAAAAATCAACATTTCCAATCTAATATACCATTTTATTTTTATTCATTTCTAGTTAAACAGCATAAATAATAACTTCTGATAGAAAATTTTCTTTTGAAATCTTTTTAAGTTTAAAGATTACAAAAGAAAAAACTTTGATTTCATTTGCCATATAGGTTAAATTTATTATAAAATAAGTTTATTAATGACCTATTTTGTAAATGCTAATAGATTTTATTTCTATTTTATTAATAGTAATATTACTTGATAAATCAAAGATTTTATTTATACTAAAGAATATTTGCCTATATATAATAAATACCAGAAATTTTTTGCTATTTTTTTTTTCAATTAAATAATAAATGTTAAGTAATGGTAATATAATCATCTAATCATTTATTATTAATATAAAAGATTATATATTAGAATAATAAGTTTGTTATTATGCTCGTTATACTATTGTTTTTAATTTTACTTGAATTATATTTAAAAAAACTATTTGCTAATTATTTTTCTTTTTTTACTTATTTAACTAAAACTACTTTAAATAAAATACTTAGAGAATTTATCTTTAATTAATCATTTAAATTAGATTATGTTTTAATAAATTGTTATTTTTTTAACTATCTAATTGTAAAATTTCAATATTAAATTTAATTGTTATCCTATTTTACTATAATACTTTTTATAATATATTAAAAGTACTCATTATCTATATCAACAGCTAAATATTCAATGAAAAAATTATTTACTTTAATATTAGTTTTCATTTATTAAATATATATTTTTAGTTGATTATTACTAATAACTAAAATATTTGTCATATTTTTAATTCTACAAAATTTTTGAATTAATAAATATAAAAAATTCTATCTTATTAAAATATTTATATTTGATACAAAAATAGATGATTTTTTATTTCAATACTTCTCAAAAAGTAGTAAATAAATTTTGAATTTTACTAGCAAATTTTCATGTT